TTATAATCATTATTATTGTTATCGATATTATTGTTATTTCAATCGTATTATACCATTATCCCCACGCCATTATTTTTATCATATCATCATCATCGATATCAATGTAGACAGCAAAAACAAAAACTGGTGGAGACTGAATAATTTCAAAATTTATAAGGAGTTCTTAAAATGAGTTCAACGTTTCGCCGCGGAGGGCTTCGTCAGGATTTTTTTTTTTATGTATCTATAGTAATGACCAAATCTACACTATGGAAACAAAATATCATTATTGATATTAATGTCATTATAGCTCTAGTACAAAACGGGTTCCCACTTTAATTAAGCAAGTAAAAAAAAAAGCACGCTGCACGCAAAACATATTTAGTTTAGGGACCAAATGTATTTAACATTACCCATGTACAAAATATACACGTGCATGCAGATGGCGGAAGGGGCTCTGACATAACAAATTAAGCAGTTAATTTACTAGGTCGTACAATGTACAAAATCAAAATGTCGTGTCACAGCAGTAAAAAAACAGCAACAATTAGTTGTCAGCAGCAACGTCCGGAGATCGTCAGCGAGTCTCATTTCACCATTAACGCTGTAGTAATGTTTTTTAAGAGATGTGGCCTCTTCTTTTTTTTATAGTAGAGCGCCAAGGGGTGGGTGTCAACAGAGATGTTGTTACAGGGAATCAGACTTAGACTGCTCACCTCTCTAGCTTCAACAGCACAAGGTCTGCTTCGACTATCAAGGCACCCCAAAATAGCAGGTCACAAGAGAGTGACAAACATACAAAAGAAGTAGAGAAAAATGACAATAGTAATGATCAGGAAAGAAAAAGCAGCAGTTCCCTGTTGTAGATCAGGCACAGTTATGAGCGTGACATGAGTCAACCCATTTGCAATTCTTCTGTGCTTGAACGAGAAATGTCCCCCCTTTTAGTGGCCTCTTCGATTGTAACGTCCGTCTCCAATGGGACAGAGTCTCAAGCTGCCGTAAAAATAACAGAGGTTTTAAATGACCTACTGTATTAAGTATAAATGCCTCATATCATTATGCTGGGCACTATAAACATTTTACTACAGATCCTGAAACGCATTCTAGGGATGCAAGCTTGGGACGCACACACTGAAGCCAATCTGAGCTAAAGGACGAGTCCTTTTAGTGAAATAACTCCAATGATCCTTGAACCCTGACAATTAGTTATGAAGAGGTTTTCAGTACTCCCTGGTGTACAGAAGGGATCGATGACGTAAAGCTGAAAGCCACGAGAGGCTATGGTGGTGACAGTGCGCTCGACACTGTATTGGTAAATGTTCAGACTATCACACTATCAGAATAAGTTCTCGTCTTTCAGTATACAGGAGAACATCGCGATCTACATCGTTACGGGTCTATTAACTGAGTATTTTATTATCCCCGGGCATATACTGGAATATAAAACAGTGCATATCTCATGGAATTTTCAGTACAAAATGTATTTTGGTTTTCGCAGTAATAAGATGCACTGCTCGTTGATATGTCTTTGTCTGAGAAAATACTGCGCTGAACAAGATTTAACTTCTGTTGTTTTACTTAATTTTCAGATATCTAATTATACGTTCTTTCAGATGGGAATACCCCTATTCAAAGGCAAAGCTAATCTTCTTTCGTGGCTCACATGCTATTAGAACAGCATCTCTACCCTATACAAAAGTACTATTAAAAACATGCCCTAAGAGAAATCCTTCACATTTTTTAAAGCATAAACCTACACAGATAACTAAGACATTCACACAGACTCACACATAGACATTCACACAGACACACACAAATGCACTAAAACACACACACACACACACACACACACACACACACACACACATACACACACACACACACACACATAAAACTCCCAAAATAGATAAACAAACAAAAAGTAAGGTAATATACAAACTGGCAAACCGCACTAAATAATATCAATTGAACTCAGTGCAAGAGCCCTCACGGATTAACATAAAGAGGTGTAAAAGTCATAATGTGCGTATGCGTCTGTGTGTGTGTGTGGGGGGGGTGCAGTGATTAACAGTATGAGTCATATCAAGTGGGGAACTTCATGCAGAGATTCGTTCCATGGCAATAATTACATTATAGCACACAGTCGCACGCTTTCGCTCGCAAATCGAGTTACGTTAATGTAACGTTGGCCGACGCCACGAAACGAAGCTTGGGGGAAATCCCCTGTCCCGTCCTGGAACTTTCAAAGTCACTTCGAGGTTTGGTGAGGGAAAAACGTTGGTCTCGTTAAATCGCGTTTTGTTGCTATTTGAACTATCGTCATTAGGTGACGTTGTATTTCCAAACGTTGAGATTATTATTTTACTTTATTTCATTCCATTTTATTTATTTATTCATTCATTTATTATTTATCTTTTTTATGTGGGGGAAGGAGTGTGTGTGTGTGTGTGTGTGTGTGTGTGTGTGTGTGTGTGTGTGTGTGTGTGTGTGTGTGTGTGTGTGTGTGTGTGTGTGTGTGTGCGTGTGTCTCGTTAAATCGCGTTTTGTTGCTATTTGAGCTATCGTCAT